TGTGCTTGGTCCACTGTTGGATCTCTCAAGTCAGCCTTGCTTCTGAAGTCTTCAGTGTGTTCCCGCAGTCCCAGCTGTCTTTATGGTGTTACTGGGAGATGAGTCTCAATCTCCCACAAGCAGGAGAGAGGAGGCTCTGGATCCTGCCTCAGAAGTTGGGGTGGCCATGCTCACCCTTTGTCCTGTGTGCAGTGCAGGCCCTCTCACTGTCTGCTGGACAGGCCAGTGGGGCATCATCTCGGGCCAGAGTGTGGCGGGGGGAGGGAGCAGGTGACTCAGTGTGGGTCTTCACCTCCGCCAGGGGGTCCGCCGGGCCATGTGGAGAGGCTGACCCTTGGTGGCTCAGGGCAATAGATGCTTGTGGCTGCTCCTAATGTGGCTCCTCCTCTGAGTTTTGGTTATTTTCACTGGGTGAGAAGGAAGAAACCCTGTGAGTTTTGGCTGAGGGTTTTCGCGGCAGATTCACGGGATACAGTCTGAATCCCTGATTCTGACAAGGAACTAAAGCAACCTTTTAAGATTTCAACTTGCAATTTAGGGTAAGCTGCTTGACCCAGAGCAGATTCCCTGTGATCGACCAGCAAGGATGTCTCGTCCTGGACTGGCCATGAACTCTGGTTTGGACTTGGCAATACCAGGGCTAATGGAAAGGAAAATTTTAGGGGCGCCTGGGTGGCTCAGATGGTTAAGTGTCTGCCTTCTGCTCAGGTCATGATCCCAGCGTCCTGGGATCGAGCCCCACATCGGTCTCCTGGCTCAGTGGGGAGCCTGCTTCTCCCTCTGTCTCTGCTTCTCCCTCTGCTCATGCTCTCTCTCTCTCTGTAGCTCTCTCTCTCTCTCTGTCTGTCTCAAATAAATAAATAAAATCCTAAAAAAAATTGTTTAAAAAAAAAAGGAAAAATTTTAACACTTAACCATGGTGCTTAATATGTCCCTGACATGGTTTTAAGTGAACACTATTAGCTCTCTCAAGCCTCACGACATCTTTATGAGGTAGGGACTACCGTTGTGTCCATTTTACGTAAGAGGAAATGCAGGCCCAGGGTAATGAAGCAGCTTGTCCAGCGTCACACAGCTGGAACGTGGAGCTGGGATCTGAATCTAGGCAGCCGGGCTCCAGACCCAGGCTTTGGGGCATTTGAAGAAAGGATCAACGTCAGGGGCCTGATCAAATAAGACACTGCCTTTCCAGAATACTTCATATGTTTTTATTTTCCATTTACCCTTCATGACCACTCTGTGAGGCAGACATTTGTGTCATTCTCATTTTGCCCGAGGTGGAAACGGAGGCCTAGAGGCGTTCAGGGACTTTCCTAGGGAAGCTGGATGGCGTGTGGCAGGCACGTGCGTGAAAGGGACCCGGTGTGCGCTGTTGGTGGGAATGTAAGTTGGTGCAGCCACTGTGGAAAACAGTATGAAGCTTCCTCAGAAAATTAAAAGTAGGACTACCCTATGATCCAGCAACCCCACTTCTGAGTATCTAGCCGAAGGAAATGAAAGCAGGCTACTGGACGAAATAAGTCAATCAGAGAAAGACATGTATCATATGACCTCACTGATATGAGGAATTCTTAATCTCAGGAAACAAACTGAGGGTTGCTGGAGTGGTGGGGGGAGGGAGGGATGGGTGGCTGGGTGATAGACACTGGGGAGGGTATGTGCTATGGTGAGCACTGTGAATTGTGCAAGACTGTTGAATCACAGATCTGTACCTCTGAAACAAATAATGCAATATAGGTTAAGAAAAAAAAAAGAAGATAGCAGGAGGGGAAAAATGAAGGGGGGGAAATCGGAGGGGGAGACGAACCATGAGAGACGATGGACTCTGAAAAACAAACTGAGGGTTCTAGAGGGGAGGAGGGTGGGGGGATGGGTTAGCCTGGTGATGGGTATTAAAGAGGGCACGTTCTGCGTGGAGCACTGGGTGTTATGCACAAACAATGAATCATGGAACACTACATCAAAAACTAATGATGTAATGTATGGTGATTAACATAACAATAAAAAAAAAAAAAAAGCATAAGGAAGCTAACTGACCTGGCCAAAACTCTTTGACAGAGCCAGGAGTGGCATCTGGCCATCAAATTCTAATCAAGAATAATTTTCACCATTTCATGTTTTTTTTTTAACTTTGGATTGAAAATCAATAAGCAATTGAGATTTTTTCCTTAATAAATTATTTGAAATTGTTAAAAAAAAAAAAAAGCAGGCTACTGGAGAGATAACCTGCACTCCCACGGGCATTGCGGCATTATTCACAGTGGCCGAGATATGGAAACCACCTCAGGGTCTGCATGGGATAAGTGGCTAAAGAGCATGCGCGTGTGTGGCTGGGCAGCAGGTAGGCTTGGCCAAGGCCACGGCAGAGCCCCCGCTTGCTTCCTGCTCTCAGCCTCGGCCACTTGCTCATCCCCGGGAGACGTCAGTGCTTGGCCCTTCTGGCTGCCCTGGCTGCCCGCTCGTCACAGCGGGTCTGGGTGGCTGAGCACAGCCGCACAGGGGAGAGTCCGCCGAGCGTGGGGAGCACGGTGGAACCAGACGGCAGAGTGGGGAGGAGCTCAGAAGCCATTGGACTGGGGGAAAAGGTGGGGCAGGCAGGACACTTCTTAAGGTCTGGGAGAGAGGGGTGCTATCCTTTATCCTGTGTGCAGTGGGAGCCCCTGAAGGCGTTTGAGGAAGAGAATGGCCAGATTAGAGCTGGCCTTTAGGAGGCTGGGTTTGGTCTCTGTGTGTCTGATGGCTCAGGGCCTCAGCTGGCTGAGTTCCAACAGCCTGTCTTCCTAGTTTGCCTATGACTTCCTTTTGCTACCTGTCAGAGTGTCACTGTCTTTCAGCGGCTGTAAACTCTCAAAGGTCACCGGCTTTTGTAGGTCACCAGCTTCCATGTTTAGTTTGCTGGCTAGTGGCAGCAGAGCTCACGCCCGGGCAATCCTGGTCTTATCTTTGACCCTCCCATGGCAATGCAGGGCAGGCGTTACGGTGTTCTTAGTGTCTGGAACATACAGATGAACCAGCTGGGCATCAAACCTAGGTTTCTCCCTGGGATGGCTTCTTTTCTCTGGAAAACTCCTACTGACCTTTCCAGATGCTTCCTCTCCTGGGATGGCTGTTGGCTCCCTCACAGAATATGAGAGCTGCTGCCCCTAAACCCTGACAGTACTTTTATCTGTCCCAGATTTCATTGTGTTAGAGGTATTTGTCTTATTTTCCCAGGCAGGCTCTGAGTGCCTTGAAGGAAGGGTCTGGTCTTTGTTATGTCTGCACCCAGCTCAGAGTTAAATACTTGATTGGGCACAGTCATCCAAGAATAGGCATTGTCTGTTCACTGACACCTGTGTATGCAGGCCCTGGGATATAGCCATGAACAAAGCAGAGCAAGTCCCCCACCTGCCCTTGGGGGGCTCAGCCTACTGGAGGCTCTGCATGTGACCTCCACTTCCATAAATCTTTCTGAGGGACAGACTTTATGCTGCCTTCCTCATATCTGGGGAAATGTTCTATTATAAGACAAGGTCTTTGATAACGTGAGAGGTAAAAGTGCTCTCTTTCAGGACAGGGGCTATTTACCTTGTATCCTCCCAAACACTGACAGAACGCAGTTCTCTGATGTTGGTCGGTTGTAGGTGTTTGCGACACATGTGTGGAATGGAGCTGGAGCAGGAACAGACTCTGGGTAAGAGTTGACTCCAGGACCGGGCCCGCGCACTCACCAGTCACGCACTGTTAGAACATGTCCAGCTCCAAGAGTTCTCTACAAAAAGAATTAGATTTTAGAGGCAGATAGGGGCCTGACGAGATGCAATCAGACTGCAAAAGAATTGGTTTTAATTCGAGACCTTGCCTCCAACAGGTTGTGTTCCCTCTCTTGTCATTTCCCCAGTTCCAGGACTCCCTTTTGAGTTTTAGAAGCAGCAGCACACGGATGTCTTTCCCAGGCCACTTGGCCGAGACCAGGCCCTGCCTTGGGAAACACAGAAAGCTGGAAGGCTGGAGAGAGGGGCATCTGGAGTTTGTGGTCTGCGAGTGACAGAGCTACCAGAGGATCCTCTCTCTCCAACACACTCACCCAGTGTCAGGGCCACCGCAAACCAGAGAAAGGGCACCAGAACCAGGACACCAGGGTTTCCAACAACTCAGCCTGTGGTAGCCGGAAGGATGGCTCCAGGCTTGGCTTGGCCATTGCTCCAGCTGGTCAAGTTACTGTCCTTCCTCCTGCCTCAGATTCCACATGAGCAGCATGAGGAGGTTGGATGGAGGGTCTTAAATGCTCTTTTGGCTTTTTGTAGGAAGAAGCAGGGGCTCTGGTGTCAGGCACACCTGGATTTCAAAGGAAGGGAGCTTCAGAGGTAGGGTGCAGGTGGTAGGAATGGCTGCATAGGTTTTAGAGACAGCCACACTTGGTTTCCAACGCTGGCTCTGCCCCTTGTTAGCTATTTATTTGGGGGCAAGTTTTGTAACTTTCGGGAGACTGAGTTTCTGATGTAGAAACAGTGATGGGCCCTCCACCCTGGGTGGTTGGGGGAATCATCTGTAACGAGATGTTGCAGGGAAAGCGTGGAACAAGGGTGTGGCACAGAGAAAGCCTAGAGTCAATATGGGGGATGGCAGTGGTATTTGGAGATGCTGGGCACCTGTCCAGGTGCCCTTGAGGCTGGCAGGTGGGCACATGGTACTCCCAGAAAGAAATACATATAGAGATGTATATTTCCATCCAAAGGTTGCTTGCACGTTCTGGACCAGGGCTGCAGGAACAGGCAGATGACCCTCAACTGTCATGAGTGTCTCTACCTCCACGGTGACAGGCAAGCCCAGAGCTGCTGGCCGGAGCTGGGCTGGCCCTGCCATTCCTGGGCTCTGAACCTCCATGTAGCCCATGTAGGTGAATCCAGGTGAATTATGAGACTCTGGGTGAGTCCCGGGTCTCCGGGCCCAGTCCTGCCTTGCTGGGTGTATGGCCTGGGCTGTGGGTCTGGGTGAACATGCTCTCCACCCCTTTCCAGTGCGCAGGTCCAAGGCCGCGGACGAAGAGAGGAGCTGCCGAGCTCAGCGCGCCAGGGACGAGTACCGGCGCCACTCCCTCCGCGCCATCCAGAAGGGCACGGTCGCCGGCCTCAGCTCCATGTTCCAAGAGCTTGGCCAGAGCCGCGAGCAGGAGGCCAGACTCTACCACCACCTCCCAGGCCCCGGGCTTCCACCACCCCTCGCCATACCTGTCAGGTGGGTCTGGGGGACCCTGCAAATGCAGCGTGGCTGGGGGATCCAGTCCCTGCTCTGCTCCAACAGCTATGAAATTTGGAGCTAGTCATTTCCCCGCCGTGGGCCTCAGTGTTCAAGTCTGTGTAATGGGGCCAGAGCAGGGCAGTGAGGAGTCTGGTTGGAGATTTCTTTTTTTTTAAATTTTTTACTGTTATGTTAATCACCATACATTACATCATTAGTTTTTGATGTAGTGTTCCATGATTCATTGTTTGTGCATAACACCCAGTGCTCCTGGTTGGAGATTTCTAATAGCCCCAGAGTTCTGGGAGTCTTAACATTTTGGGGTCTAGAATTCTTTTGAGAATCTAAAGAAAGCTGTGCACCCTCTTCCCTCCAAGATGTGCATATGAAAATACCCAAAAATGTTTGCATATAATTTCAAGCTCTTAAACGTCCACACACCCCAAGAACTTGTAATATAAGACCTCAAATGGGTTAAATATGGCCCAGCTGCTTGGAAACCAGGGCTGGCTGCTTTTTCTAACCACAGGTAGTGCTGGTGCATCCCTGGTTCTGATAACAGGTTTGCAGATGAGCGTGGTTGAGTCCTGAGGGTCCTCACACACACTGGTGTCTCTGGAGTGGCTTGGCAGGGGCACTTAGGTGGCTGCCCATCATTGCCAGAACCCAAGGTCAAGAGGTTGCCTGGAGCCTTTCCACTTTCCGCCTGTGCCCACCTTAGGCCAGCCCCAAGGTTGGTGCCCCACACCTCCATCCTTGCTGAGTAACTACTGCCCCATGAGGGTGCGTGGTGAGTGCCTGCTGGGTCCCTGAACCATGGTTAACCTGTAGAAGAGTACGTTCTGAGTTTTACTTTAATTGGGATTTAGGATTATTCATAACTCCCTTCTCCCTCTCCCTGCGGGCTAGAGAGGGCTGACCATACCTGCGTTTCTTCCTTCCTTTCTTCTCTTCCTCCCTCCCTCCTTCCCTCCCTCCCTCCCTTCCTTCCTTGTCATTTATATGATTCACAAACCACGAAGTTTAAAAAGAAATATGGAAAATGGTTGCCTTCCATTCCTACCTCCACCTACTTAGTTCTCCCCGGCCCTGTAGGGGAGCACTGTCCTCAGTGTTTTTGTGCACCACCCCCCCAGTTCCTTTGTGTAGTTGATGACCTGAAAAGTCGTAGCCCTGTCTTGTGTTTTTGTTTTTGTTTTTGTTTTTTTGTTTTTTTGTTTTTTTTAGAAAAGGTTGCATACTATACACATGGCTCTGCATCTTGACTTTTATTTCCATTTAACTATATTTTGGAGGTCTTTTCATATCAATTCTTAGCTAGTCATTTATTTTTATTTAGTTTTTTTTTTTTTTGACAGATAGAGACACAGTGAGAGAGAGAACCAAGCAGGAGGAGTGGCAGAGGGAGAAGCAGGCTTCCCGCTGAGCAGGGAGCCCGATGTGGGGCTTGATCCCAGGACCCCAGGATCATGACCTGAGCCGAAGGCAGATGCTTAACGACTGAGCCACCCAGGCTCCCTATTTAGTTTTTTTTTTTTTTTTAAGATTTTCTTTTTAAGTAATCTCTACACCTGATGTGGGACTCGAACTCACTTCCCGAGATCAAGCGTCCCATGCTCCACTGACTGAGCCAGCCAGCCACCCTGGCTTAGTTTCCTTTTTTATAACTGCATCATGTTCACTCCGCAGATGTGCTAGAAATTATTTATCAAAAACTCTGTTAATGAACATTGGAGTTGTTTGAAATCCTTGGTTATGACCAGCAGTGCCCTTAATGAATAACACTGTAGACGTTCATTTTACACACGGGCCACGCTGGGAGGGAGGCTGGTGGCTGGCCTCTCTGGGTGCGTGGGTCTGCCGCTCCTGGTACACGAGGGTCTTCCTTCATGGATGCTGATGTTCGTGCTCTGCAATTCTAGAGGGGAAAAAAAATGCCTTTTCTCTCCCTCAAACACCCCCTCCTCTTCTCTTTTCCATTCCCATCTGTGTGGCTTTTTTGGAAGCAAGCGATAACAGTGCTCTTTTGGGAAAAATAATAGTAGTTGGTGCATTATTATCTGCAAAGTGCCTTCATGCACCTGGACTCATTTAATTCACTCCACAGGCATGAGTGTGGGCACTGTGCTGATTCATTCTCACAGTGGCCTTCCCTCCCCTCCCTTCCCCTCCCCTCCCTTCCCCTCTCCTCCCATTCCCCTCCCCTCCCTCCCCGACTCTCCACACTTCCGTCTCTCTTCTCAGCAGGACCTGGGAGCGCCCACTGAGACCTGTCTCCAGAGAAGTCATAGTCCGCTGGTTTAAGGAGGAGCAGCTGCCTCGCAGAGCTGGCTTTGAGAGGAACACTGAGTCCATCGCCCCCTGGTTCCATGGTAGGATGGCTTTCCGGCTCCCTGGGGCAGACAGTTTCCACCTGTCTGCCTCTCTCCAGGGTTGGGAGGAGGTCCTGAGGGACTGTTGTCATCAGGGGCAGTGGAGGACTTTGGACTTGGCTACTTTCGCGCTGCCCCCACAGAGACTGGCCAGTCTCCCAGCGTTAAGGATCAGCTCTCCTGGGTCACCTGGGGGACAGTGGCATGGAGACAGGTCCCATGGCTGCCCTCTGTTTGCTCATTGAATGTGCTGAGCTCAAGGCAGAGTTTGATTTCCCCAGGGCATGAGCTGAAATGCTGAGTGGCGTTCATCAAGGCCTTAGGGACCAAGGCAAACATCTCCGAGCAGGAGTCCAGGAGACTGGAGGCGCCAGGGATTCTGAATGTGCATTCATTCCCCTCTCTCTGCTGGAGAAGGATGACCACGATCTTGCCCACTGCCCCCACTCACAGCCTCCTTGGCCATCCAGAGGCGTCTTCTCTATACTCACAAGACAGGGAGCTCCCCTTGCACTTGGTGGACAGGGCCCACATCTTGTGGTCTGAGCCTGCATCCCAGATCCTGGCCATAGACAGGCACACAGCAGGCTCTGAACAAATATCTGTTGATTAGATGACAGAACAGCTGAATGAAGAGGTCAGAGTCACCCAAGCAGAAGGCTCCCTGGAAGTGTCTAACTCCTCATTTTTCAGATAAGGAAACAGGTCCAGATTGGGGAGAAAGTTTTCATCATATCACCGATAGCCTTGTAAAGTCAAGTTCAAGAATATATCTCAAGCTCATGATCCCAGTCCAGTGATCTGAACCTGGAGAGGACTCAAACCGGGAAACAGGATTGTAATTTCAGCAGAGACTTGCTACAGTGAAATAGGAGTCGTTACTGGCCATCAACCTCTTCTGTATCAGTTAGCTATTGTGACATAACAAATCACCCCAAAACTCAGGAGCTGAAAACAAATAAGCACTTATTGTTTACTCATAAATTTCTGAATCGACTAGGCAGTTCTTCTGGGATGGGCCAGGCTCAGATGATCTGAGCTGAGCTTGCTCATGTGTCCCCAGATAGCGGGCTGGTCTCCTGGGTGCTTTATCCAGGACAGACTTGCCCAAGACATCTCTTCTCTGCTCCATATGATTTCTTACTCTCCAGCAGCCTGGCCAGACTGCCAGGTTTCTCTGGATAAGTTGCATGCTGGCCTTGCTCCCGGAGTCTTCCCTCCCTCATCAGCACTGAGCCCCGGTTTGTCTGAGGACTCGCCTGGTCAGAATGGATCTCTTCGGCTGCAGTTAGCATCCATCAGACCCTGACCTGCCTTTGCTTCACTTCTGCCTGCCTCTGGGGAGCTTGGCCAGCCTCCACCTTGGCCTGTGTCTCCCCTTGCAATGTGAACTACATACCTGCTTCCTGACCAGCCTCCATGTGTTCTCAGTTCCATCCAGATGGAGAGCATGACCCTCAGTGCCATGATGGGCACTAGAGACCCTGTGTTCTTAAGGGCTAATGGGGAGGCCCTCACAGGCAAGCTGTGGGCGTGGCTCCAGCTCTAGGAAAGGCAGCTGGAGTGAAATCATGCAGGGGCAAGCAAGGCCATGTGCACCTTCAACCCCATCTTCAGGAGCCCAAAGAGTTTATGAACTGTTGAGTGTAGGTGGTAGCCATACTACAGGTGGGATGACTGAAATGTAGCATTTTTCAGGGACTGTCCAAGGTCATAAAGGTCACAGAGGCACCACCCAGTTCATGCAGGAATGTCTTCACAGGTTTGCCTGTTTCACTCTGGCCCCTCTACAATTTATCCTTCACATAGCATCCTGCGAATATTTTAAATATAAATCAGATCCTGTCACTCCCTTGCTTAATACCTTTATATTTGCAATGAATTTCAAACTCCATGCTGGGGCCTGCAAGGCCCCCGATGATGGGTCCAGCTTCCTGCTTCAGCCTCATACCACAATTCTCTCTTTGTCCACCTTGCTTCTACAACTCTGGCTTTTTCCCTCTTCCTCAAACAAGCCGTTTTCTTTTCTACCCCAGGCCCTCTGCACCTGCTTTTAATCTGCCTGGTATTGCTCTTTTCCTAGCTTTTTGCATGGACGATGCATTCTTATTTCTCATCTCAAATATCCCCTTCTGAGAGAGGCCTTTCCTGAATCCTCACCTAAAGAAGCCTTTGCCAGTTTCTCTCAACTCACTATGCTCATCTCTTTAAGAGTGCTCACCCGATTGGTATTTATGTTGTTATTTGCTTTTGTCTGTTCTCCTACCTGAACGTGAGCCTGTGAAACTAAGGCCTTGTTCATTTTCTCTGAATGCCTAAAGAATGGGTGAAGGTGGGAATCAAGTGCCAGATTAGATCCAGTCTTCCCAGTCCCAGAGAATAGCCGTCGCTTCTCCACACTGGGCCCTGGTAGGTCTCGTAGGTGTGTGGGTCTCCTGAGGGCCTGATGAGTGAGTTTCAGTGGGAGCTGTCCACTTGTAGCCTGCCCCCTTCTCCAGGTATCTATATCTGTAGGGTATGTAGGATGGAGAGGCTCCTGATGGCCCAGAAAGAAAAGAGTCAACATTCACAGGTGACTGAGGCACACAGCCCCCAAGCTGGTCCTGGGGGATTCCCTGCTTCTCACTTCGCTCCCAGTTATGTAGCCCTGAGAATATTGCTGCTTTCCTTTTCATTCATCCATTAGAAGCACAGAAGGACATCAGGAGCATCTTAGGCGCCTGCGTAGTGCAGCTCCAAAGTTCTGCGGAGGAGGGGGTGGGGCTGGGGCCCCTGGGGGCTCCGCAGTGCTTGCTGCAGCTGGCGGAGAAGGCACGACAGGGGTGCTCAAATTCATCTCTTAGCTTTATTTTCTATCCTGATGAAAAAAATAAACTTTTTATATTGTCACGGAACAAACAGAACCGTGATTTAAGTCTCATAATTTATGTAACTGATTTCATGTTCTCTTGACAGTTCTATCATAAAGCATGCGGGAAAGTTGCTAATCCCCAGACTGGAGCTATTTAGTGACAAAGTTTTTATTGATATGTGACAGAATGAAAAGAAAAAGGCTCATGGACGGAGGGTGGCCCACCGTCTTTGCTTGGAAAGGACTGTGTCGTATTCTAAGATGATCTCCTTTCCTCCATTGTAGTATGAAAATGTTCTATCTTTTATGAATTGGTGGTGATAGTAAGTGGTAGTTATTTTTATATATTGCCTTTGCTCAGAAAAGCAAAAAGCTAGCAGCCCCATGTTGGTTTCTAAACTCTTGAGAGTAACTTTGCTTCATACCTAAAATCCCAAAGTCTGGAACTACTGGTATGGTCCAACCTCTTCCCCAGTGGAGGCATTCTGTGACAGCATCCCTGAGAGGCGCCCCCCCTGCCCCCGGCCCAGTCCTTCCAGAGAGTGAGCTATTGCCCATACCGCCCACAGGCAGCCTGCACCCGTTTAACTGTGAGGGAGTCTTTGCCAAGGTGGGCTGGGGGCTCTGCTCTCAACTGCTCTTGAGAGCACCTCACAGCGGGGGTGGCTCTGCTCCCCGAATCTCCCACGCTCCCCTTGGGACCAGCAGGCTAGCCCAGGCATGCTCTTCCCAGCAACCAGAGAGCAAGTGGCATTCTAGGCTTGTGAGTCTAGTCTTCGAAGCAGGACGCTGGCAACTTTCACCTCATAACATTGGCCACGATATGTCACAGAGTTCAGGCGTGGGAAAGTGTATCCTGCTCCTTTCCCGTGAGGAGCTGCAAAGCTGTGTGTCAAAAGGTGTGACGACAAGGAGGGAGAGAGAACTTGACGATAATGGAAACGGTTACAACCCCAGTATAAATCTTTTCTTTCCTGGGTAAAACATTCCTTATTATTTTAGCTGGGTTTTAACTATTTTTTTAAGAAAATACTTTATTTATTTATTTTAGAGAGAGAGCGCACGAGAGAGGGGAGGGGCAGAGGGAGAGGGAGAGAAACTCAAGCAGACGCCACATGGAGAGTGGAGCCCGATGTGGGGCTCGATCTCACGACCCTGAGCTCATGACCTGAGCTGACATCAAGAGTTGGACGCTTAACTGACTGAGCCACCCAGGCACCCCAATTTAGCTGGGTTTTAGATGGAGATTAAAAATGACCACTGTGACTCCTGGTTCCTTCCCTACCCTCAAACACATTTGGATACATTGTATGCGCCAAAGAGTAATGTGAACGAGGAGTCTGAAGATACGGGGCCCACTCTAGAACCTAGCAGCTCTGTGACCTTGGGCGTGTCCTTTAAATCCCCATCTATGAAATTGAGATTTTAACATTGGTTTCACAGGACTTATGGAGATCAAGCCAACAAACGTGCTTTGTCCACCATAATGAGCCATGTTGGTGTGAGTGCTGATGTCTCTCGGAGTCTGAGGTGGGCCACAAGAGAAGCCACCCACTCTGGGAAACAGAGTTCAGAGGTGGGGGGAGGGGGAGGAGAACTGGCTTCCTGCTGGGACCAAGGAGTTCTCAATAGTCTCCTCTGTTAAAAAGAGAAAGTGGTAAAGTTATTCCTCCTTTCTCCTTTGTTCATTGTCATGTTCCAGGGGTTGTAAGAGAGACTTCTAGTTCTATAAAAATACTCCCAAGAAAAGCTCGTGCATCTGAGCTTGGCTTTGGGGGAAAAATCTATTTTTGGACTTCAACATGTATCTAAAATTATTAAGAACATCCTCTGTCTGAACATTGGCTCAGTCGGACCCCATTTCTCTTTCTGTGCTTAACTTGTAGAAAAACAGTCACAGTGTGATCCATAGTTTATTGTCTTGGCAACAACCCACTGGCTGTCTTGCCACTTACCCTTAGGGCTTGGTGGGGGACGGTGCTAGGCAGTGGGTGATGTGGTTGGTGTTGGTAAACTATTCCCACAGGACCCCGTTCAGGTCCTGGGAGTGGATCTTGAGCACGGCCTCGCCTGCATTCAGGTGGGGTGTTATTGTCCTGCCTTTTCAGACAAGCACAAAGTGGGGGCTTCCCCAGGGAGGAGTTACTCC